GTTTAGTAGTAGAATCCCTGGTATCTTCCAGATATACAATCATATCATCTGTGAAGAGTGAAAGTTTAATCTCTTCTGACCCTATATGGATACCCTTGATCGCTTTTTCTTCCCTAATTGTGATGGCTAAAACTTCCATTACAATGTTAAAGAGTAATGGAGACAATGGGCAACCTTGCCTCATTCCTGATCTGAGTGGAAATGATTTCAACTTAACTCCATTCAGTACAATATTGTGCTTGCTTAAATGTTAAATTAAAATTATTTAACATTTTTTTAAATGAACATTTAACAACATAATATTCTGAGAAACATGGAGGGTTTTGTGGTCTTGATCCCACAGGCTGCACAGCCCGTCTTCCATGGGCTGAGGCTGCCCACACAGTAAGGCAGGCCTATCAGAGACTGCAGCTGTAGATGGGTCTCAGGCACACAGGGCTGCTCCTGCAGAATGAAGTGCAAAGATGCAAAAAATGCCCTAGATCTGCTGAGATCATGCTGTTTTCAGACACTCAGTCCCCTTCTCTCCCTAAGAACCTGGATTCATTTCAAACAGAAAATGAATCCTGAATTATGTTCTGAAATTGCAGCTACTCCACTGTTGCAGTTGGTGAAGAGCCCAGCCCCACAGGGGAAAAGCAGGGTGGCTTGAGGGATACAGGAGTAGGCTTATTGATGAAGAACTGGAGTAGGAGGACATCAAGTAAAACCTGCACACTGTGAACCTACAGAACCATTTACAGATTACCTAAGGAGGGACACATGGATGGTATTGCCAACCCTCTAACTGGAAGGGAGCTCCGGGTTCTTGCCCACCTGCCAGAGTACTTCCTAGAATGTTGGTCACACACTCCCACCAGGACTGCTGCCGGCCACCCCTCCCCCACTGTGGAATGTCTGGGAGTCCTGCTGTTCTACAGCTGTTTACATTCAAACTTTGCCCAACTCTACTTGAACCCTTGAGCATCTGTTGAGCCAGGTCACACTCTGGGTCTTGCCCTTGACTTTTCCTATTGAGGAGGCTACCAGACCAGTATTATCAGTGCCTGACCTGCAGGGATGGCTTCAGAAAGAGGTAAGGCTATAGGGGGAAAGTGAGTTAGTTACCAGTCTGGCTGCCACCCCTCAGACTCACAGTTGAAGCTCTCCCTGGGGACAGCTGATGAGGCTGGAGAAAAGGAAGGTACACTCAATGCACATCTCCTAGATTGTCCCACCTGGGAAGTCCATGGCCACCTAAGGCTGTGGCTGGGGAAGGACAGCTCCTGGGAGGGGGACCAAGATACCTGGGGTAAGTGCACCATCCAAAGGAAAAGAGGGGAATAGAAGTACTGAATCATTCTAGAAGGGAGATTGGCCACCTCAACTTATGTTTCTAGGGAGCTATGGGATTGTGTTGTAGCCACAGGGAGGATTACCGGGCACAGTCTGAGCTCCATATCATTTCATCAGGCACCTGGAGCTAGATATTGTTCTGAGAGATTTGGACTACAGTTTCCTAGATCTTTGGAGAGAGTGGGGAGAAATGGTCCCAGCCAGAAAACTGTTCAGTGGCTAAGCTACGATGGGATCTGCAGTGACATATCCCTTCAGTGAGTGGGGCTGGAGGTTACTGTGACTCTAACAGAACTTTACAGCCCTGGGCCTCTCCATTCCTTTCCTCTGGAAATAGCTGCTCTTTGAGTTCTAGGTCGCTGTTGTCTCTGAATCAATAAGGGTGGGGCAGCCAGGGATCCAGCCAGCCTTGGGTTTTCCTGAATTAATATGAATTGTTCACCCTTTTATGGATACTTGGGTCTTCAGAACTGCTTCACTTTGTCCATAGCTCCTAGCCTAATCCCTGCTCTTTGTTTTACTATAGATAAAGATTTACTCTCTGCAGTACTTTGTGAATGGGAAACAAAGGTGGAGGGTTGTTGGTTCTAAGTGGAAGGTTGTGAAAAGCTGGTTTCCTCTTCAGTAGAGGAAGGAAAGTAGCACACAATTTAGAATATGATAGTCTCTAATTATTATTATGCAAAGTTAGAATAGGTATGCTGATTCATTAGGTCAGTGGTTCTCAACCTTCCTAATGCCTCCTAATGCTGCAACCCTTTAAAATAGTTCTTCATGTTGTGGTGACCACCCAACCATAAAATTATTTTCATTGCTACTTCGTAACTGTAATTTTGCTACTGTATGAATTATAATGTAAATATCTGATATGCAGGATGTATTTTCATTGTTACAAAGGGGTTGCGACCCACAGGTTGAGAACCACTGCGTTAGGTGCATGAGCTGTGGACTTTGTTGACTTTGACTAGAGTCTCCTTGAGGTCACAGTGAACAGATGTGAGTTCTGGACAGCACCTGGCTCCTGCCTGGGCCTTTGTAGGTCTTTACATTTCATTACTGGGATCTCAAAGAGGGACAGCCACAGATGGCCTCCTTTTCCGTGACCCATTTTAACATAACCAGCAGCCACATAGATCTCCGGAAATGCATCGTGAAAGCTCCAATGTTGCCATTTCCTGGCCCTTGTCTAATCCTGCACAGCCACTGTTGGCTGTGCAATAACAGCACCGAAGGGCACTTAGCATCTCACAGACCAGTTCTCCGAGGACAGCACTTCCTCAGTGAGGGCAGGGAACACCAAGCTTGGGGACAAGGTGGCTCAAATCTGACCCCTACTCAGTGCTTGCTATGAGTGGTGCTAGAAGAAGCACCTACACACTGAGGGTGATGTGTCTGTGTGAGGATTCCTTGGCACTGGCTTGGAAAAAGATTTATTACAGTTCTTTTTGTTCTATTGTGTCAGGCTAGGATGGGGGGGGTGTTATAAGAAACATGAGGAAGGAAGACCAAAGATGAAAAGGTGCCACAATACTCTGAACCTGCCAGTGTCACATAGGGTATTAGGGGTCCTAGAACTGTCCATGGGAAGGTCTCACACACACTGGGGGCTGGGCTGAGGGGTACTGTTCCTCCCAGCAGAGTTCACCCTGACCCATGGCTCAGGAAAAGCCTGTAAGGTTGCCAGATTGTCTTCCAGGCATCCCTGGGGGCTCTCACAGGCAGTGAAGGCTCAGGTATTGCTTCTTGTCAGATAGGGTCAGGGGGTCTTCATGATTGGGAAAAGTTCTCCAGTGGAATAATTCTCAAATGGAGGAAGAGAGCATCACATTCACTCAGGGACCCTTGCAAACCATGCCATGTCCCCTTGCCATGTGGCACCCACACCTCGCCATGACCTCCCAGTCACTCCCGGGGAGCCAGAGAGCCTCCCTCCTGGTTGCTGCTTCTCCTCCTCCATTCACGCTTTCCTTTGTCTCCACAGCATCCTCAGTGCTGAGACCAGACATGATCCTGAACCCTGATGCATCCATGCCTCCTTTCACAGCTCTGCCCTTTCACCCACCTGGCCCCAGCCCAGCACTTGGGCCACCCAGGGGACAGCAGCCGCCACCCCTTATGACTGCAGTGTTCCCTCTGGGAAGCCCCTTCTTGCTGTCTACTCTGCCTAGGACACCTCTGGTGGCAGGAGATGGTACCTGTGGCCCAAGTGGGGCTGGGGCTTTCAGTGTCATTCTCCAAGTCAGGTCAGAAGGGGAGCTGGTGCAGGCGCCCCCTAATAAGACCTTTGTACTACCTCAGGCCCCCCTCAACTGGAGTGCTCCAGGGGCCTTCTGCACAGGTGCTCAGGGACAAGCTCCACTACTGTTGTCAGCTCCTCCAGTGGAGACCATAATGCCTGCCCCAATTATTGGCAGTGCCCCAATTGTTGGTGGTATCTCAGCCAGTGTTGGAGGCTGGATCACGGGCCTTCCTCGCCCAGTGCCCTCACCAGCTACCCACCTGGCCCCCGTAGTGTCGCCAGTGAATACTGGGCTGCAGCCCCATGGGATGTGCAGGGAGGGCAGCTTGCCCACCTCCCAAGCCAAGGCCTTGCAGGATGACTCCTGTAACCCCAAGAGCGTCTATGAGAACTACCGACGCTGGCAACATTTTAAGTCACTGGCCCGGAGGCACTTTCCGCAGAATCCTGATACTGAAGCATTTTCCTGCTTCCTCATGTGAGTGTCCTCAGGGGACAGCAACTCATCCAGGAGAGCACATATACAGAGGAACATGGGTGGTCAGGAGGGGCTATTTAGGTGTCCTAGAAGGATGTTTCTGAAGGCTACGAGTCACCCTCTGGGAAGGTGTCTTCTCAGCCACGTTCATGTGACTCCAGTTATGGCATCCTTCAGGTCCTTTTCTCAGTCAATTCCCCCCCCCGCCATCCTGTGAGTCCAGCCAATCCTTATTTTTCAATAATTATCATGTCACAGTTTATAGAAGTCTAAAGGTCTGAAGGGGCTCCTGAGGTAATGCTGTCTACAATTTGTATTTAGGTTTCTAGGGCCACACACTGACTCCTCCTTTTGAACTTTTACCCTCCTGCATAACACCTAAGTGTTGATGGCCATGAGGATATCACCTGTGGGTGTGTGAGAAATGTATGCCCTCCACATTGTTCTGTTCTGTTCTTCCCGTTAGCACAGAGATGCGGTCAGGGTGCACACAGGGTTGGGCTTAAGCCCCAAAGGGAAAGATTGTACTTCACTTTCCTGGCAGCTCAGAAGATGACTTGAGCTGATTTATGATATGCTTAGCAGGGTGCCAGGCACGTGCTATACTCCTGAAATGATAGCAACTATTAACATTATTATTAAGAAGAGGATAGTGCTCTCCAAAGCCAATGTCCCAGCAATAGCATGTGAGGGGACCACGAGCATAGCAGCCCAGGCCAGGATTGTAGGGAGTGTGAGGCGCAGCTCAGGACCTGGAACACTTTGCCTTTCCCTCCTCATGACCCTGTGTCTCCCACTGACAAGCACATCCTATGCTGCAGGGAAGTGTGCCTACATTGCTCCCACACCAGCTGCTCTCCTGCTGGAACTGCTTACCGTTGTATGAATGGAAGTGTCCTGCAGTCCTCATACCTGCCAATCTTGCTGGCCCCCACAGCAGAGTCCCTGGTGTGCTCAGGAGCCTGATTGTCTCCGTCCAGACACCCAGGCCTGGGCACACAGCAGCAGAGGCATCACTCTCCTTAATTTCTAGACACATGCTCTTGCACCTCATACTCCAGAAATCTAAGGCTGCGTCCCCTGGAGCTGCTTTCCACAGGATGCTGATTAAATATTCAGTCCTGGGTCCCCAGAACCTAGGCTTTAAGCCCCACTTCCAGGTCATTCAGTCTAGCACCTCAGTTACCTCTGGATGCTGTAAAAAGATACCGTACACTCGGTGATTTTACATGACAGACATTGAAGTCTCAAAGTTCTGGACCAGATGTCCCAGGTCAAGGTGCCAGCTGATTTGGTGTCTGGTCAGGGCTCTTCCTAGTGGAGATGGCTGCCCCTAGCTGTATCCTCACATGGCTAAGAGAGTCAGCTTCATGTCTTCTCCTCCTCCTGGGGCCCTGATTCCATCAACAGGTCCCCACTCTCATGGCACATCTACCCTCCTTGTCTCCTAAAGTCTCCCCCACCAAATACCCTCACATTGGTGGCTGGGACATCAGTGTGGGAAAATTGTGGGATACAAACCTGAATACTGAGTATGACATTCAAAAAAGTAATACGAGGACTCAAAGGGAAGATGCAGAGGGGAAACGCACAGTCCCCTCAGTGTTAATGTTTGGTGGTGGAAGGGCGAGGAACTCCCACTGGGGTAAGACAGGACAGGGACAGATGGCAGGAAAACAGAGGGAGGGCAGAGGTCATCCTGGGATGGAGGGTGGGCTTGTAGGCTGTGACTGACCCCATTTGCTTACAGCCCAGTGCTTCGAACCCTGGCCCGGTTGAAGCCCACCATGACCCTGGATGAGGGCCTGTGGCGGGCCGTGCAGGAATGGCAGCAAAAAAACAACTTTGATCGAATGATCTTCTATGAGATGGCAGAAAAGTGAGTCAGGGATCCTGGACCTGGTGGCTGAGTTGTGGGGTGAGTGTGGGTGACAAAGCCACAGCTGCTGTGGTGGCTGGTCAGTGCAAACTGTAAGGAGGGATTCCACGAGCATAGGCCCTGTCCCATGCCCTGGGCTTCCTCAGGAAGCTGCTCCCTCCTCCTGGGATTCTGGGTATATCAGTCATCTCATTGAGGCAACTCTGGCCTGACAGGTCTAGGTGGACACTGCCTGGCCATGGTAGGAACAGTCACCAGCACAGCCCAGTGGGCCTCCTGCAGCGGTGGGGGCTGTGGTAAGGCAGGCTAGTGACTATAGACAGAACTGAGGTCCACCCCTCCTCAGGACAAATGTCCAAAAGTTGGTCATCTGCCATCCAGCAGAGCGTTGAGGAGGTTAATCAGGGAAGCCAGTGTCTCAAACCCTAAGAACACAGCTCTGGCCTTCTTGCCTCTGCTCTTCACCAGTGCCTGTGTTGAAACACAAAGACAATGAAGCAACAGTGCTCAGAGGAAACAAATACTCTCCTCTCGGCTCACCCTCCATCCCTCCAACACCACCTGGGCCCCAGTCCCCCAGGTTTTCCTCACAGCCCAGCTCACAGCCCAGCCTCAGGATTTTCTGGTGTCTTCTGCCATAATCACATCCCTGGCCCACCTCTGGTTGTCAGTGTGCTGTGGGGCACTGGGCAGGGACAGGAGAGGTCTGGAGGAGGGGCCATGGTCAAGCCCTGCCTGGGTCACAGAGGCCTGGGCCAGCCAGCCCTGATGTAGGCCTGCATGTGCGAGGGTCCCCTGATCTGTGGTTCTGCCCTGGGGAGCAGCTCCCGGGACAGCCCACCCAGGCTGGCTCCTCCACATCCCTGTAGTCAGCTCCTCCCTGGCGCTGGGTCCAGGAGCCTGGCCTCCCTCACAGCAGGGCCTGTGCCTCCCACCCCCAGGTTTATGGAGTTTGAGGCTGAGGAGGAGATGCAGCTTCAGCAGTTGCAGTGGATGAGGGGATCTCAGTCCCTGCCTCCACCAACCCCACCGAGGCCTGATCCTCAAGAGCAGCCAGGCACCAAGGTTGTCCAACATCCAGGTGAGGCTTCCCACATTCCCCCAGGAGCTACAGGGGAACAAAAGAGAAAGGGACCAGGGAGGCCACTGGACCTACCTCCTAAATTTTATTCAAAAGGTTCATTTGCTCTTTCAAATCAAACAGTCTACCATGAGCTGGTGGGGGCTCAGCCACCCTTAGTCATGAACTGGGAATTGACCTGGTCAGGTCTCATTGGTACAGTCTCCCCAGCACGTCCAGACCCAACATGCAATCTGCCCAGGAAGCAGGGGCTGTTTGGGGATGGTACCCAAACTTGCTGCCACATGACTCAGTCTCTGATGTTTCCCCTTGTAGCATCTCTTCTCAGGGTCCTGAAGCTCAGGTTGTCCTGCCCAATCCTGGACAGAATTCCTGTCCCTGAGTCCCCGCCCTCCCCAGTGTGGTGTCAGGGCACGCTGTTGCCCCTGCCACACCATCCTTTTTCTTCCCCACTTCAGTGGTCCTTCCTAAGAAGGCTGACACCAAGGCCCAGCCCATCCACCTGCCACCACCCACACCTCAGCAGTGGCCACCTGAAATCAAGGCACCTAAGGAGATCCCGCCTGAAGCTGTGAGGGAGTACATTGACATCATGGACAAGTTGCTGGGGCCTCCCTGTGGGGACCTAGGGAAACCTGATGCTCAACTGGAAGAGGGAGAAGCAGACCAGTCCCAGGATGAGTTTGGGATCTACCCAGACCCAGGACTCCTCAGCTACATTGACAAGCTGTGCTCCCAGAAAGACTTCATCACCAAGGTAGGAGGCCTAGGACCTACAAATTAAGTTCTGTGTGTGTGTGTGTGTGTGTGTGTGTGGTGAGTTTGTGTGTTACAGCTGTCTGTGCATATGTGTTTGTTACCACTCATGTGGGTGAATGTGGCTGTGCATGTATTCCTGTATGTCTGTGTGTCTCTGTGCAGTGTGTGTTACTGTGTGTTGGTTTGTGTGTATTTGTGTCTTTGAGTATGTGTGTGTGTGTGTGTGCACAGCTGCTGGTTGCAATAATATAAAACAGCCCAATGGTGTGGGATGTTGCTTTCAGCATCTCCTCCATGTCCCCTTGGTTCAAGATCCTGCCCTGCCATAGAGATTCATGCTCTCTTCCTTCTGCTCCCAGGTGGAGGCTGTGATTCACCCCCGATTCCTGGAAGAATTGCTTTCCCCAGAAACAAACATGGATTCCTTGGCTCTAACCCAGGAGCTGGAGCAGGAGGAGCGGCTCACCCTTGACCAGGTGAATTGGAAGAGGGAGGAACACCCAGGGCAGAGAGGGCCACTCAGGGAAAGCAGTATAATGAGGGAAACCAGGGGACAGCGGAACGGCCAGGTAGACCCCAGCACAGGAGGGCCACCTGCTGTTGTCATCCCCTGCCCTGCCAAGGGGCACGGCTTGCTGAGGGGAGACAAGGAGGAGTGTGGACAGATGCAGGTGCAGATTGCTAGGAAGGAGGCCAAAGGACCAGAGAGGGAGGGCAGGAGGACAACTGCAGGGAAGCCCAGCAGGGCAGCCAGCAGAGTCCCACACTCTGTCACTGACGTGAAGCTAAGGGACCTGTCACCTTCCTTGCCTTCCTCCCAAATGCCAGCACCTCCACCGCCCTCTCAGCCCATCCTCACAGCAGGTGCATGTCAATAAGTGGTGGTTTTCCTTCCCCAGCTGGTGGAGAAGCGCCTCTTGGCCTTGAAGGAGGAACAGAGCGTGGGGGTAACCCTGAGTCGTCGTGCACTCCAGATGGAATCAAGTCCTTCTAAGTTAGCAGCTGGCCAAGGTGCAGAGAGAGACAGCCATGGCCCGAAACTAGGGGTTGGTGCGGAAACCTGCCCAGCACAGATGGCTTCCCGTGCCCAAGGACACAGCAGAATGCAAGCTGACCTACTGAGGCCTAAGGCCCGCGGTCTCCTATCTGGGCATCCAGAGTCCCCCAGGCTGAGGGCCACCCTGCCAACCTCTCCTTTCCAGGGCCTCAAACCGACCTCCCTTGGCCTGGGGACCAGGGATGCCTTGGGTCTCCAAGGTGCCTCTCCTGTTAGGGAGACATTTGGGCCAGGTGACGGCTCCAGTGAGGATGAGGAGGAACTCCCCAGCCTGACCTTCCTTCTGGCTTCCCAGAACAGGCTGTTGCCCTGGGGTCTATCCCAGAGCCCTGTCCCTGTCCAGCCACCATCTGCTCAAAGAAGAGGCCTCAGCTCTGCTACCCTTCCAGTGGCCAAATGTAACAAGCGAGTGCTCTCTGGGGACCAGTTTCATGCCGAGAAGATGGCTTCCCCAGGGCCTGAGCTTGGAGCCTCTGGGGGGGAACCCCTGGCACTGGGACCTGGTCGATCCTCACAGCCTCAAAAAAGAAAGGGTGACTCATTTGTTTCTGGGATGAAGAAGAAGCAGCGCTGTAGCCAATAGGGACAATGGGATGGCCAATCCAGTGGCCCCTCACTGCATCCTGTAGCCTGAATTGCCAAGGGGTCCAGCAGGTCCTCAGCTATGGGTATGGGAGCATGGGTGGATAGTGGGACCTCCAGGGGGAGTGGGTGGATGGGGTGAAGGGCAGTGCCCTGGGGTTTTGTGTGTTAATATGAATAAAGAAAGTTTTGTTGAAAATGCTGTCAGGGCTGCTGCCCCTGTACTGTCACCTGTACTGCTCAGGGAGTGAACATCATGAGGATAAGGAAGGACCCAGCAATGCCAAGCTCTGGGGCGCCATAGAGCCCCCATGTGCTCCCCTGCAGATGCAGGCTGGCCATGCAGAAGCTTCTGTGCTGGCAGCTCTGGCAAATACCCCAGATTCCATTGTCACATACACGAGCTGGCATCTGCTCCATGCAGTAGCACATTAATGTGTACAGAGGTGGTAGCTCCCCCTGAATCGCAATCGGGACAGGGCAAGGAGCAACAGGTGGAGAGATGAATGCAGAGTCTATTCACATACCTGTGTCTGGGATATGACAGTGGGTGGGAGCATGTCAAGTTCCCCTGCAGGAGGTCTGGGCAGGACAGAGTCTTTTCCATATGAATGAGGAGACCCACTTTGTTGTGGCTCGGGGACTGACCTCAGGGTCCCTCCAGATTTTGCACAGAGCACCCCGCAATTCCCATTCCCAGTGATGACTGAACTCTTGAGTCAAACTGTTACAGATATAGATTTATATTCACATGAAACAGTTTCTTCCTTAAAGACACTGTACCCACTAGTCACAAGAATAACCAGCTCTCCAGGAGTATGGTCAGTTGTGGCATATGGTGGCTACAGGTCTGGTGGGAGCTGGGGGCAGAGGCTGAGAGGGCTGAGGGTCAGCTGCCTTCCCATTAGGCACGGGCACAGACCACACCAGCAGAGCGGGGGCTGCCTGGGATGTGACATTTGGAGCCTTGGAGGTTCCTGAAGGGTGGGTTCCAGGTGGTTAATGCAGGTAGGAGTGAGATAAGGAAATAATAAGGAGAAAAGCTGAGCCGAGGGACGGATGCCCCCTTTTTTCCAGGACTGTCCTGTCCCCCCATCTCTGCCAAATTCCCCTCATCCTGTGCTTGTGACTGGACCCCTTCCTCCCAGACCACCTCTCAGAATCTCTGACCCTGCATGGCCTCATTCCTTCCAGGCCAACCCCTTCTATAGGTTCTAAGTTCTAATTCCTCTTTGAGGGCCTGTGAGAGAAGGGGACAGCTGTGATTCCTGGGCCACCTGCGACTCAAAGCTGTGGTCATGGCTATGTTGGGTAGTCCAGCAGCAGTGGCAGGTAGGGCACAGCTGTCTATACCAAGATGGCCTGGCCCTTCTGCTGGGTGACAAAGGGAGCCAGATCTAGGCTCTCACCTTCCCCATCTGCCCACAGAACCTGCCAATCGTCCAAACATATTGTCCCCCACCACCTTTCCTTCTCCTATTTCCTGTAGCCAGCACCCATGTCCAGCCTAGCCTCTATGGCTTTGGGAAGGACAGTTTATTCTTGGCAGTAATAGTTCTCACTGCCACCCCCTTTCTGTTCCCAGGTTGGTCTCCACATAGAGAAGAGGGCCCAGAGTTTGTGCTGGGCTTTAGACAATATGGTATGCATCTGTACCCCATGACCATAAGGTCCAGAAGCTTCTAGAACACCACAACATTCAGATCCTAGTGGGATGGATATCCCTACCTGCAACTTGAGCCTACTATGGTATCCAGCTGAGCAACGCATCAAGCACTCAGGGCATATATGAGGAGTGAAGGTCAACGGCATGTGGGGGCCTTCTGTCAGAGATGGGCAGCATCTCAGTCACATCTGGGACTCCTGAACTGCCCTTCACCCCCACAGCTCTTATCTGCCCCATCTTTGTTTTGGCTAAACGCTCCTCAGGAGGATGCAGAACCTGTGCTTCCTCCAACTCTGTGTCCCCCCAAACCCTACAGTCCACCTTGAACCTGCACAGTGGGGCCAAGTGGTGGGCTCTTATAGTCTAAATGTGTCTCCCCCCAAATTTCAATGATGAAGCCCCTACCCCAGATGCAATGGTATTTGGAGATGGGACCTTTATGAGGTAATTAGGCTTAAACAAGGTCATCAGGGTGGCTCCCCAGTACTGACAAGAGTGTCCGCAGATAAAGAGGAAGACCCACCAGAGCTGTCTTTCTGTCCCTGCACTGAGGACACAGTGAAAGCCCAGAAGAAGGCCCAGTCCAGAACTTGGTCACACTGGTGCTCTAACCTCAGACTTCCAACCTCCGGACTGTGATAAGTACATTTTTGTTTGTTAAGCCTCCAGGCTATGAGACTTTGTCATAACAACCAAATATGACCAGGACAAGATTCATACCAGTATGTGTATGAGCTATGAATCAGGGAATCAGGGGACTGTAGTAGAATCTGCAAAAACTGACAACATCATGGCATTGTTTCCCTGAGGGAAATCACGATGCTCACACAGCAGGTGCTCTGTGTTTCATCCCAACACTCTCCCAGAGTCTCCCTATCTTCTCATGGCTTCTCCACAGAAACACTATGAAGAAGTGAAGCTGAGCCAGGTCCCACTCTAGAACCTCCTGCTTCTGGGCGGCACTGGGTGGGTTTGTCTCCAGAGCCCTCCTCCTTCCCTGTGCTGTAGCCTCCTGGGGAACCTGCAACTGACAACAGGAGCAAAACTAGCCCCATAAACAACAGTGCTGGGCTTTCTGACCATGGCCAGCATGGACCAGATCTGGGGGGCTGTCCTTTTGTAGCTGCACTTTTATTCCAACTTCACAGCTACATGGCGTCTTTCAGGTGCCTGTGCACTAGGCAGTACTGGGGTGAGAGTTGCCTCGTCTGGGGGATCCTGGCCAAGCATCTGATAAATGGCCAGGCCTACCTGAGTCTGGCTGTCATTAATCATCCGCTCATCCCTGGGACAGACTGTCAGGAATGGCCACTACTCTAGCATCCCCCCTGTGAGGGACTGAATAAGCCCTTTTACTAATGTCAGAGAAGATGTCTGTGTGTTGAACTCATTTTAGGAAAATGTCTCATGATTAAAACTATCATAAATGGTGGCTCATTTTCCATTTCCGTCTCAGTTCCCCCAAAGAAGAAACTGCACTTCTTGTGCCATAGTGCTCCCATGGAATTTTCTTTATCTTAGGTCATCCCCAAAAGCATGTTCCAGGCACTTATATCAAATGTATGCTATTTGCGTAAAGTGTATAGGGGATTAAAAGATATTCTCTGGGATTAAACACAACACATGTGGAGGCACGTGCTCTGTGCCAACACATGTTGAGATAGGGCCTAAGGACAAATGTAAGAAAAGAGACTACTTGTGCTAAAATGCTCCTCACACCCCACAATCTGAAACAGACTCAGTGCAAGCTTTTTTCCTTCACAATGTGCTAAAAGAGAGTCTCAAAAGTATAAATCACACAAACCCAGTTTTGCCACTGGGACCATCAAGTGTTATCTTAATCATCTGGGTAGACTGGATCCTACCCCATCTAATGCTTTTCCCTGCCATCTCCATGAACTGGACTGAGTAAGTCTACCTCAAGAGTCCATAGATCACAAGATGTCCTACATTCACATCTACTGTTTTGTTTTCCTTTTTCACTTTATTATTTTTTTACAGATTATTTTACTCAGGCTGGAGTATTTTTTAAGAGACTTTTGCCCAGGCTGGAGAGTGGAGGAAGGGTCAAAGCTCACTGCAGGCTTGAACTCTTGGGCTACAGTGATCTTCTGGCCTCAGCCTCCTGGGTAGCTTGGACTACAGATGCCCAGCACCGTGCCTAGCTAATTTTAAAAAAAAAATTTTTTAGGGATGAGGTCTTGCTGTGTTTCTCAGGTTGGTCTTGAACTCCTGGGCTCAACCAGTCCTCATGCTTGGCCTCCAAATGCACTAGGATTACAGGCAGAAACCCTCATGCTTAGCTGGTAATCACTCTTTAGATATGATTGCCTAAAATTGTGCCTTGGGTAAGACATGATTCATCAAAGAAATAATTGAAAAGCTGGACTTCATTAAACTTCAAAACTATTGTTCTGTAAAAGGTAAAGCCAAGAAATGTGAACAAAAGCCACAGACTGGAAGAAAATATTTGCAAAACACATCTAATCAAGTACCATTATCTAAAAGATTAAAAGAACTCTTGAAACTCAACAATGAGAAAATGAACAATCTGATAAAAAAAAATGAACAAAAGAACTGAATAGACATGTCAAGAGAGACGATATATAGATGACAGGTAAGCATATGAAAATATGTCCAATCTTATATGTTGGTAAGGAATTACAAATTAAAACAACAAGATACCTCTATGCACCTATGAAAATGGTCAAAATCCAATGTATTAACAACTCCCAATTAAGGTAAGGACGTGGAGCAACAGGAACTCTCATTCACTGTGGTAGGATTACAAATTGGTACAGCCACTAAACACACTACTTACCATAAGATGCAGCAGTTGTGCTCCTTAGTATTTATACAAATCAACTCGAGATGGATTAAAGGCTTAAATAGAAATGCTGACATTGGATGGCACCTGTGGCTCAGTGAATAGGGCGCTGGCCCCATATACCAAGGGTGGCATGTACAAACCCAGCAACAAAAATAATAGGCATTGTGGTGGGCACCTGTAGTCCCAGCTACTTGGGAGGCTGAGGCAAGAGAATCACCTAAGCCCAGCAGTTGTCAGGAGTGTCAGGAGTTGGAGGTTGCTGTGAGCTGTGATACCATAGTACTCTACTGAAGGTGATAATGTGAGACTCTGTCCTTAAAAAAAAAAAAGAAAGAAAGAAAAGGGCTCGGCGCCTGTGGCTCAAGCGGCTAAGGCGCCAGCCACATACACCTAAGGTGGCGGGTTCGAATCCCCAGCCCGGGCCCGCCAAACAACAATGATGGCTGCAACCAAAAAATGGCCAGGCGTTGTGGCGGGCGCTTGTGGTCCCAGCTACTTGGGAGGC